GACCCGCTGGGCCTGGGAAGAGCTGCATGCACAGCTAGAGAAAGTCAGGTGGTCGCCCCCTAGTCTCAACGTGCAAAAAAGGCTGCCTATTTGCCGTGTGACCTGGTGCAAGTCACTTCCCCATCCTAGGTCTCGACTTTTCATCTGTACACTGGGGATGATGGTACTTTACACCTTTTCTGATCTTTTATTTACTTATAAATGTTTAATGCATTTGTGTACTCGTTTCCTGCCTGGGTTCACACTGGGCTGTGTGCTGCATGGAGGCAACCTGGCACACAGTAGGTGTTCAGCATACGGTTCTTGACTGACTGAGTGACTGTTTGAAGATCAAATGAGACAGTGTATGTAAAGGTTTGTACAAAATACAAAATGCAAGTGCTGTGTACAGTGGTATTGACCTTGACCTCGGGCTGTGACATGGCCCCAGTCTCAGCACATCAGAGATTTGCCCCAGGTGGTCACAGGACAAGAAAACACAATAGGAATTATAAACACTAAAAATGAAGGCAAAAATGATAAGAATGTGCTGACGATGTGATTTTCTACCTTGAATAATCCAAACAGCGCTGCTGGGGGAGCAATGAGCAGCCCTGGGAAGGAAGTTTGGTGAAAGAGCTGGGTGGAAGAATTAGGTAAAAATTAACCGTTTTCTGATCTAGTCACCGTACTTAATTCTGAAGTATCATTCAAAAAAGGGTGTGCTCAAAATAGTTATAAAAAGCTGAAGAACCTCTCAGGAATCTGCTTAATAAGAAGCACTGCAAGTGTTCTAGGGAGAAATCCATTAACATATTTCTGCAGGAAAAGGAAAAGAATACCTAAATAAACAGAGGCACATTTGAATTTCTAGCCGGAAAGCCCAACAGGTAAAGATGACAATTCTCTCTTACGTAAGTCACTCACGTCATGAAGTTCCAGGGAAAGAGCAGTGGGAATGGAAAGCTCATTTGGACCAGTACTTGCTTGAGATTAGCCAAGAAAATTTTGGACGAGAATAATAATGACATCATGACGAGGAGATTTTTACCTTACTTGGTACCAAAACGTACTGTGACGTGACAATAATTGTAACAGTGTGGGTTTTGCACAGGCAACAGTAGTTCAGTTCCGACTTTTTCTCTCTCCAGCTGGAGGGCCTCGGCTTACATGCTTATTTTCTCTAAGTTCATTTCAATAACATAATAATGTTCCCAGAGTTCAGGAGGGGATTAAACGAGCTGAAGCATAAGTGGTACTTAGCATGGTGCCTGGAGTGAACTCTCATCAGATGATATTATTTTACACACTAAAAACAATAATAAAAAAGTATATTTTAAATTGACTTATGAGCCCATGGAAAAAAGCCAGGTGCGTTTTTCCATTACTGGTTGCTGGGATCTCGGTGCGATTTCCCAGCCTGAGCCAGGGCTGGGCGGGCTCTGAGCAGATGGGAGGTGGGACCATCTGCTCTCAGCTCACCTTCCAAGTGTTCTCTGGTTTCGCTGTGGTTGTTTTTCCTGCAGTTCACAAGGCCTTCCTCTCTGCCACCTTCTCAGGTCACAGGGGGTCAGGCGGTCAAGAACTGCCAGAACTTCATCCGGTTGGGGCAGGGCCTCTGCCCTTGGCCTGTCTATGCTCAGGAAGCACTGCCCGCACTGTCCCCCAGCACACCACACAGGGCAGAGCTGAGTCCAGCGCAGAGTGGGCACCTCTCCCGCAGCCCTCCCTCCCACCCGCCCCAGCCTTCAGCACTCGCTGGCTCCCTGCAGGGAGAGGACAATATTTTCCTAAATACAACCTGTACTTGATCTGGGTAGAAGCTCCAGGAGTGACCTTGGGCCAGTTTGCAAGTGAGATCTTCAGGATGCTGTGAGCGTTCTCAGCATCACAGAGGTCCCCAGGGGTTGTCATCACAACTGTCTCCTCCGATGGGGGAGAGGGCAGCACCTGGGGAAGGGGCAGCGCTGGCAGAAAGAGGCCAGTTCTCAGTGGGACGTGGAAGGAGCAGGAAGAGCACTGCGTGGGGAGTCACAAGGCCTGCATTTGAGCCACCCGGCCTCTTCAAAGGTGAGGTACACTGCATGGGCGGGCTTCTCCCACCAGGCTGTCCCCAGGAAAGGTAAGACCAGTGTCCGATGTGTCTGTGGTCCCCAGGGCCAGCAGACAGGTGCACTGTAAGTCCTAGAGGTGCCCATTGCATTGGGAGTGTGGGAGCCATGCAGGCCTGGGCAGAGCTTACAGACTGTGTGACAGCTGACCTTTCAGAAGGACGGAAGTGCACTGAAGGGTTCCCAGGGTCCCACGCCCACTCGCTGACACTCCTCTGTGGAGCCTGAGATACCAAAGTATAACCACAGACATCGGCAAGACAGGGTTTAGAGAATGGCCAGGGAAGGGGTCATCCAGTCAGGGCCAGTGTCCCTCTGTGACCTGTCAAGGCAGGTGGGGGTTTCACTCAGTTTGAATTGGTTTGCCCCCTTCTAGGTAACCTGCCCCAACCCCCACTTTCCCACTTCTGTGAATGGTACCACATCCCCCAAAGTCCCCAGGCTACAGAGGTGGGAGCCACCTGGGTTTCTCTCCTTCCCCTCCCCACCCACATCCATCCACGAGCAAACCTTGTCAGCTCCGCCACCAGCTGAGATCTCGAGTCACACCCTTCCCTCCATCTCAGCCCTGGAACCGTAGCCCAGGCCGCCCAGTACGAGGTGCGGCACGGAGCTCCTGCCCGACTCCACGAGGCGCCAGGTCCCAGGGAGACGAGCAAGGCTTTCCATCAGCAGCTGTATCGCGAATAATAACACTTTTGTCGTATTTCTCACTTGGTTCGGAGCTCAGAGCAGGAAGGACGGAGACATTTATCAGTCCCCTCAAAAACATCAACACGAACACCTTGGTGGCAGTTTCTAGGTCAAAGAATATTCTTATTCATAACTTCCTGGACTCCTCATTTCTATGCAACATAAAACTCATTCTCATGATTCCCACTTTCTGAATTAAAAAATAAGACTTGAAATTGTGAAGTGACTTGCCCAAGGCCACACGGAGTCAAGGGTAGAATCCAGGTTTTACAAACTTCCACTAGCAGGGTTTTGGTTTAAGCTTTGAATTCCTATTAAAACACATTTCTTTTACTATAACAGCTGCCATGTAGTTCATGTAGCAGTTTTGCGAGTTCTTGCGAGTGTGGAGGATAAGGACAGAGGAGAAGGGGTGTTTGTTTGGCGGGGTTCATCGGGCCTTCCCCGCGGAAGGAGCGAAGCAAGCAGGTGCGCTAGGGTTGGTGGAAGGGAGCTGGCCCGGGGGGCTGCAGCGGGTTTCGGGCTGAGACCCAGGGTGGTTGTCCCACCTGGGGCTGCCAGGGACCATGGAGCAGAAGGGGAAGCGGCCTTCTGCCCGGGCAGGTGGCTTTTCCACAGTACTTTTCACAGCACTGTCATGAGAATACGCAGAAAGCTTTCAGAGAGGGAGGAGGCAGCGAGGCATGGGGAAGCTTGTGTGGGGAACTCTGCCATCCATCCACCCACCCATCCACCCATCCATCCACCCATCCATCCACCCATCCACCATCCATCCACCCATCCATCCACCCATCCACCCATCCACCCATCCATCCACCCATCCACCCATCCATCCATCCACCCATCCACCCATCCACCCATCCATCCATCCATCCATCCATCCATCCATCCATCCATCCATCCGATAATATATGGTGCCCACTATGTCCCAGGCATCAGGCTGGCCCCTCAGAGTTCACAGGTAAGCACAGAACGTGACCTCAGGGTGCTTCTGTTCCATTTCTAGACCCAAGCGAGGACACACTATAATGTGATACAGGGAAGGGTGGGGATGCTGGATGAACACAGAATGGGCATCTAATCCCCATGCCTGGAGACTCAAGGCAGGCTTCCAGGAGGAAGCAACATTTAACTTGATGCCTGGAGGGTGAGGGGAAACAGCCAGATATAGTAGAGATGGCTGGTTGTCACTCAAAATTCACTTTCCCCTTCCACGGTGTAGATTTGTCACTGAAAGGGACTACCTCTTGTGGCCTGCCCTCCCCTGTTGGCCTGGGCTTGTGATGATGTCTCGCCGGTAGAACATGAGTGGAGGTTTATGTGTTGTTCCTGGGCTAAGGCTTTTAAGAAGCAGGTGTGTCTCCCCATGTCTCCTTCTGCCATCTGGACGCGGACTCGGAAGGTGATGGCAGAGCCACAGGGCAGAAGGAGGCCGGATCCCCAAGTCCAAGTCCGGGCAGGAACTCCCACTTTGTGCTGCTGTGAGCACAGTAAACAAACATGTTACCCTACCCATGGATGTTTGGAGTTCATTAGTTTCAGCACCTAGTGTTCTTTAGAAGGAAGAAAGAAAATACACCCCCTGCAGAGACAGGGAGGAAACCTTGAGAATGCAAGTGTAGGGAGGGAGAAAGAGGGGAGTGATGCCCAGTGAGGCCGGCTGTAGACTGAGGCCCGGTCAGTCACGCTAAGCTGTGGGACCCCACCCAAAGCACAGGGAGTACAACACGGACAGACAGCCCCAGGCATTCCCCTCTCTGCCCCCAGGCTCTGACAGGGCAGGTAACTTGCTAAACGCCATCTGACCAGTGGAGCGCAGAGTTGGACTCAAGCCCAGGTCTTGCCGGCTCCATGGACCTGAACATTCAGTGCTGTTCTTTGAGCAGAATGTTGTACGACAGGGGAACTAGGATACTCCTCTCCCGAGAACTCTGTGGGAGTCCTGTCCGCGTGGACTCCTCCAATTTCCTGGGACCGAGTTCCCTCCGAGGGTGCCGTCTCCCGGCGCCTGCACGCAGGATGGTCCCCACCCAGCCACAGCGGCTCCAGCATTTCTCAACCTGGTGGGCTCTGCATCCCCAGACCAATCAGATGAACATCCTGCCTGGTCTGGCTAGTCCCACCTTCTGGGGGAGCCCACAGAAGCCCCTCATCCAGTGATTGAGGCTGGCCACGGGGACCAGCTCTCACCCTCAAACGGGACATGGGACGCGGGAGGTGGCAGAGGTTGGTCAGTTACTTGCATCTCTCTGTGGCGCCCTGAGCTGGGTGAGAACGTGGCAGCGTTGCAAGTAACTCCCGATTCTCCCACCTGCGCATCCTCAGGGAAGCTACAAGCAGAGGACACTGTGTTCCCCTGGGCTAGTTTCTACCAGGCAGGTCCTTGCCCACCCACGGGGCAGTGGTATCTGATGTGGGCAGGAAAGGCTAGGGATCTGGCCAAGACGTCACATTCCTCTGCCACCTCTTGCCAATACGTCTGTGCTTATTTCTGAAACCAGAAGGCTCGGGATCACCTTTGTGCAAGGCCTTCCTTGGCCCTGCAGAGGCCTCTCTGGAGCTCCTACAGAACAGAGGGTGGGCCCAGGAGCAGAGCTTCTTGTGCCCTGCCCACCTCCTTCCCCAGCCCATGCAGAACAACTCTTTCCTCATGCCTCACTTCCCCACTAGGTAGCTCTGAAGACAGGATTTCACTACTAAAACAAAAGTCCGAAAATACCTGGTCAAGTTCAGCTGTTTCATTTTTTAGATGGAGACCCTGAGACTCAAAAAGGGACATACATTTTTTTGAAAACATAGGCACAAAAGTTATAGAAAAGGGCCTGTTTGCTTATTTGTGTCTCATGGTCCATCCACTCCTCCACCTTCCATCCCTTCATCTTCCATCCACCATCCATCCGCCTCCGCATTCACCCATCTACGCAGTGAACAAACAGCGAGGGCTCAGGATGTTCTGCTCTTCTCACCTTTCGGTCTGGGTAATTGCTTCTAAAGCTCTTGGTCTTCTTGGCATCATGTAATTGTGAGAACATGCACAGATTTGGGCTCACGCTATTTTCCTGCCACCTTCCACTGACAAGGTTAATTTTAGTTTCCTGGGATGTAAAATGCAATCAGTACTTCCTACCCCCAGGTGGCCACGAGGCAGTGTGTACAACCCCCTGATAGAATACCTACCACATAACGGGGCCTCAGTTCCCATGCGATGTCTGAAAGGTCCCCCAGTACCCTGTGCTTCGGGGGTGAGCAGGGAGGCCCTGGCTCACTCCCCTCCAGAAGTGCTCAGGGCCGCCAGGGAAGGAAGTCTCTTTGCTCTCCTTGCAGAAAGCTCAGCTGCGACCTAATTTTGGTCTGGCCAGAGCTGGCGTCTTCCTTTTCCCCTTATTGTCTTAGAGACTTGGAGTGAACTCGGCCAGGACGATTTCCACAGGAATGACCCATTCCCCCCAGCCCAGCAGGTTGCAAGGGCACCCCCACCCTCTCTCACACACTTCCTTGCCTGCCTCGTCTGAGGTGCCTCCACCCGGATATCCTGGCAGCTCACTCCCTGGCTTCCTGTAGGTCATCCCATCAATTGTCACCTCCCAGGAGAGGCCATCCTTATCCCCTCTCTGCTGCCTCCTGTCCCTTTAACCCAACTTACTTTGAATTATATATGTAGTATTCCATTTAGAGTTTGTCTCATCCCAGTGGGAGGTACACTTTGTTATTTAATTCACTGTTGCTTCCTCAGTCCTGTCCCATGGTTGGCACTTACAGAAATTTGTTGGATGAGTGAATTGATGAGAAATTGAAAAATCCACCCTAAACTTTCTACCCTAAAGTTTACCCTATTTGCTGAAATCACACACTCCCACGCCACGGAGTATCTTTGGCTATCTAGGTCGAGGGGGAGATGATATGGACAAAGTCCTGGGCAGGGCATTAGAACATCCCCAAAGGGGCAGAACTAAAGGTCAAACTCACCTGCCTATTTGTGAGAACCTGCTTATGGATCATACCCGCCCCCAAGGGCAGGCAGGCGAGGGGCTGAACACAGGAAGCCCGAGGAGCGAGTCTTGGACGTCACCCAGATTTGGACCCAAGTCCTGACTCTACCACTTTCTAGAAACAGTTGCCCAGGCTCTCTGAGCCTCGGTTTCTTTCATGCAGTGGGGCTAATGATCCTTGCTTCCTAGGACTGGCAATAACAAAACAACCCTTTGCCGACACAGGACGTGACTGTGTGTTGGTCATCCCCTGCAGCCAGAGCCTGTGCTCAGCTGTTTAGAATCTAGTGTAATTAATTGCAAAGAATGTGGCAACAGACCACTCGGAACAAGTCCCAGGTTTACCTACCTCCAAGCTGTGCGATCTTGAATAACACAACCCCCCAAATCTTTGTTTCCCATCTAAAACATGTTAAACATAAAACTGGCCATAGAGTGATTGATTAACTAAGCTAATGCATGGTCAAGTTGAGCCTGCTGCTTGGCCTATTAGTCATTCTTAGTCATTCTTAGCTATTTGGGTGGTGTATCACCAAGAAGCCTGACCAGGACTTGAATAACAGTCAATGTGTATTGTGTTTTACCCATGTCACTAGTTTTCACCCAGAGAGCTGGTTAATGAGGCAGATTCCAGCCCCTGCCTCCAAGATGGCGACTGAGAAGACCCGGGTTGGGGCCCAGGACCTGCGTGTGGACAGGCATGATCACCCTGAGGCTATTCTGACTACCAGCTGGGACCCAGGCCCTGTGCAGCAACCAAGGTCAGGAGCTGTCGGGACCCTGATGACATCTGGTTGCCAGCACATCTTCTCTCCATACTCTGCAGACCAGACAAAGAACAGCTCTTCCCCAACCCTGATACATTTGGGTGGTTCTGGGAGCCCCAGGGGACCAAGTCTCTGGCTGTCAATGCAAGACTTAACATAGTAGGGCTGAAGCCCTCAACCCAATGCTGATCTCTGTCTCTTCTCAGGAAGTGGCCGCTTGGGTCTGCTGCCCCCCTCAGACAGAAGGCTCTGAGGTTGGGTCATAGAATTGCTGAATTAGATTGTTAACGTACTAGGCTTTGGAACTATATGAAATGGCCAGCTGTGCTGGCCAAACAGGTCTCGTTCCCTGGGCTGGCTGAGGTCGACAGTCGCTGTTGGAACGCTGTGTTGACAAGGATGCTGGGGCTGAATCTGGGCCCGTGGTTCTCAACCAGGAGCAAAAATGTCCCCCAGGAGACATTTTTGGCTGTCAGGACTGGAATAAGGGCTTTTAGCAGCATTTAGAGACTCTGCTAAACTCCTAAAGTGCATGGGACGGCCCTACTTCTACGCCTCACCTTGTCTTCAACCAAGAATGATTCTGTCCGAATAGCTGAAGTGCCAAGGTGGGAGATTCTTCTCTAGGTTCAGTGGAGAGGAGTGTCGTGATTGATTAGCAATGTCTGGCGGAGTGGGGGGAGGGGCAGCGAGAGCTCCTGCGGGCTGCATTTACCATGGGATTGGGAGAGACAATATGCACAGAGAAAAATCCTAAAGATGTAGAAACATAATAAAAATAAAAACCTCAGATCCAAAGAGAGATAACAGAAATAATGCATCCAGGAAAAAAGAACATGATGCCATTAAAAAAGGAACACAGAGGACAAGAAGAGCTCTCGGAAAAAAATATGAGAGCAAAAGTATAAAACTCCACCAAAGACTTGGGAGATGAAGTGGAGGACACTTCTCAAGAATATATAGTGAAATATATCATTGAAAAGAGGAGATAAATGATAAGAAAATTACAGGACTGGCACAGGCGCTTTAATACTTAAATCTTAGGAGCTCTAGAAAGAGAAAGAAGCCCTGACTGGTATGGCTTAGTTGGTTGGGTATTGTCCTGCAAAGCAAAAGGTCACTGGTTCAATTCCCAGTCAGGGCACATACCTGGGTTGTGGCTATGGTCCCTGATGGGACGTGCATGGTAGACAACAAAATAATGTTTCTCTCTCCTTCTCCCTCCCTTCCTCTCTTTCTAAAAATAAATTAATAAAATCTTAGCCAAAAAAAAAAAGAAGAGAAAGAAAATGATGGGGAGAAAATATCAATGAAATAGTTGAGGAAAATGACCCCGAAAGGCAGGCCATGACTCTCAAGCCCAGAAGTGATTAGCACAGCGCACAGAGCCATTTTCCATCGGGAAAGGTCAGTGGGAAACTTCAGGATGTTGGCTGCACAGAAAAGTCGACAAACTTGCAGAGAAGTAAACATGGAATCAGCTTGGCTTTAAACGTCTCAACAGAAACTCAGGAAGCTAGAAGACAAAGGAGCAATGCCTTTAAGATTCTGAAAAAAAAATTCTTGTCAATTTTATTCTACGTCAAGCCAAAAATATGAAGATATCCTAGACACGCAAGGTCTTGAGTAACTTACCTCCTGCCTCCTCTTTCGCAGGAAACTTCTGAAGCACGAAGGGGTGAACCAAGAAACAGGAAGACGAGGGTCCAGGAAGCAGGAAGAGAGGCAAAGGGGTCCTTAGGCTGATGGGGGAGGGAGATCCCAGGACACCAGCTGCAGAGGCCAAGTTCCGTTTGGAAATGCCAGAGGGTTCCAGGAGAGAACACTCCTTCAAACTGATGAGATTGTTGGAAAGTTGAATGCGAATGAAAGTCCCAAAAAAACTTTGAAAATTGGCAAAGAGTTTGAATTAAAAAAAATTAGAGATCAGTGCACAGAAAACTAAGCAAATGAAGAACTCAAAATAGTTGTAACACTGAGCACCAGTCTCTCCAAATTATGGCTCTTTGGGGGACAATGCGAAGGATGGGAGCGTGGGTCAGGGAGGGAAGGGCAGAGGTTTAAAACAGCCTCTCCTCTAGCAGGGAAGCAGTGGGCAAGGCCTGCCACTGAAAACACAGAACAATGCGAGCACGTTCTGTAGCTGCAGGGGCTAAGCACAGATGGTCGGCAGAAGGAACTGAAAGAGGCTGTTTCTGGAGAAGAGGAAGAGGAGGGGAGCAGGACCGGGAACTGTAGCTTGTCTTCACTAACCTCCGAACTCCACTGACTCCAAACTAGGGGCTGGGGCAACTGTTAAACTGGGAGGTTGAAAGCAATGCAGCTGGCCAGCGTGCAAAAACTGGTGCAATCTGCGTGAGGCCCGTATATCTGCTGACGCGTTGTGCCTACGTTGGTTCCCTGACTTTGACAGTGCGCTTTGGTTTCTTTACATATTATCACTAGGGGAACCTGGGTACAGCATGGGAACTCTCAATGCTGTACTTTTTGCAACAAAATACTTGTAATATTGCAACGTTTTGTGAGTCTGATTTCAAATTAAAAAGTTATGTAAACAACAATGAGTAACGGTTACAACGGGCGAATATGCTGTCCCCAAAGCCACCCCTTTTAGAGGGAAGACACTCCTGGTCACCTCTGCCCAGGTCTGGGGTGGTGGGCCCAGGGGCTTGGGCGTCCCAGGGACGGACATGCAGGGCCTGTAGCCCAGCTTCAAGAGGACAGGGGTGGGTGGTGAGGGGTGCTAGACGGGCTGATGGAAGAGGTGGCTGTGCCTGAGCCTCCGTGAAAGGCCAGTGAGGTCACTTGGAGAAGAGGCAGCATGCAGACTGAAGTGTTCTCCAGTAGTTTTGTGGGGAGTTGCAGTGGAGAAAACAAAAATTAAACCATAAACATGCCGCTGACATTGTCCTCTTAAAAGGGAACAAATACCTGCCAGTCGCTGCTGAAAAATGAGTCTTAATCATGTGGCCAGAACGTGTCCGGAAACGGTGGCCGTCCCATTCAGCTGGCATTCTCCCGGAAGGCTGCGGTTCCACAGCTGTGGGTGGTGGGAGGGTGGGGGGCACCTGAGGGCCAAGGGCCTGAGCAGCACCCGCCTGCTGAACTTTCTCCTCCGACCCTCGGGGGACAGATGCAGAAATAGGGGTCAGGAGGCAGAGATACAGATTTGGAATCAGACCGATCTGCATTTAAACATTAGAGTAGCCTGGCCCCAAATCAATGTGTGGCATTGGGCAGGAGCCTGGCACCTTGATCCTCGTTTTCTTCACCTGAATGTGGATATTTGGCATGAAGCTTGGGAATCAGGCCCTGAGCATGGTGCCCCAGCACATGTGTGCAGAGCCGTGCCCCGGAGATGCTAGGCAGCTTGTCCAAGATCACACAGCAGGTCAGGGGCCACGCCAGAATGGGAACCCTGTTGGCGTGGGTTTAAAGTGCGGCTCCATCAAGACTGAAATCGCTTCTAGTCTCTGACACCACACCGAGTTCGCTTGAACAGATCTCTGCTGAGCGTCCACCACATGCCGGGCAGAGTCCAAGACTGAAGTTGCAGCTGCAGACGAAATCAGCCTGTGCCTTCAATAGGCCGGCATTCTGGTGGGGAAGGTGACAATAAGCACAACCATGAGAGATGTCAGATGTGAGAATGGTCAGCTGACGAGGCCCGTTGAGCACACTGAGCGTGTGCTCCCAGCTGACGGCACCATCATCGTCCAGTCGAGGGACCTGAAGGAGTCCTTCTACAGAGTGGGGGTGGAAGGGAGGACGGACGCAGAGCTACAGTGGGGTTTGGGTTCCAGGACCTTGACTCCTGGAATGACTGAGAGGACAAGGTCAGCCTTGGAGATTAGCTCTAGTCTGGTCTTTGGCTGAGTAAGCTTGAGGCTTTGCTATAGATTAAATGTTGGTTCCCCCCCAAATCTGTGATGTTGAAAACATAAGGTGAGGTTATTAGGAATCGAAACCTTTGGGAGGGGCTGGGGTCCTGTGGGCGGAGACCTAGGAATGGGATTAGCCTTCCTAGAGAAGGGGCCCCGAAGAGCTGCCCGGCCCTTTGGCCACGCTGAGGGCACAGCGGAAGTCAGCAGTCTGCACCCCAGAAGTTGGCTCCGTGGTAACCCAACCCCACTGGCACCCTAACCTTGCATGTCTGGCCCCCAGAACTGCGAGAAATGAGTTTCTGTTGTCTGCAAGCATCCCCATCTGTAGTTTTTTGTTATAGTTGCCCTAACTACCAAGACAGCTGTAGAGGTCATGGAACTAACTCCTTCTTCTTTCCAGACCCCCCAGGGGAATTGTGGGGCCCAGAGGACAGTTCCTGAGGTGCCCATGGATAGTGGCCCCATGAGGTCCCTCCTCGATGGGAGGGATTTTTGGCTCGATGATTTCTGGCTCAGGGAGGGGTGCCAGACTAGGAGCATAGCCCCCCATTGTCACTCACTGTGTCCCTTTCTGAGCCTCAATTTCCTCACCCAAACAATTTAGGAATTTGGATTTCATGAAGATGATTTCTTAAGAGGACTTGTAGCTTCTGCTCCTGCTGTCTTGGAGCCTAGCTGATGCAGGAAGAAGCCCGAGCTCATCCACTGGAGAGGCCATGCAGAGGCAAACTGAGGCCGACTGCCCCAGCCAATTACTGGCCACGGAAAGAGGCCCTCTGGGACCGGCCAGCTCTCGACCCACCTTCCATCTGACCTTTACTCTTGCCCGAACACAGTTCAGCCAACACCACGTGGAGCAGAGGTGAAACTTCCCCGCTACAAAACCCTAAATTGTGAACAATCAGCACTGGCTGTTTGAAGCTACTGACTTTTGGGGTGGCTTGTTTCACAGCAATAGATAACTGATAGATAACCTGTGAGTCTGTCTGTGTCCTTGGCCAGACTTTTCTTACTCTTCCTGCTTTCCTGATCACAACAGAGCAGTGTTAAGAGCATGCAGCAGTATCAAATAGACCTGGACAAAAATCCTAATTCTCCCACTTACTAGCTGAGTGACCATAGGCAGGTTTCTCAACCTCTCTGAACTTTGTTTTTCATCAATAAGATGGAGATGCTAATTGCATATGATGGGTTGCTATGGGTTATTGTGAGGTTGAAATGAAATAATAATACCTGGTGCCTGGAACATACCAAATGTTCAATAAATTTATTAACTGCCAATAAATATTTATTAAACACCTACTACCTGTGGCACTGATTTTAGAATCACAGGGATGAATAAGACAGACAAGGGCTCCCACAGAGTGTCTGTTCACGTAGGGGAACACAGAATGAACACATACAAAAATGAGACAATGGCAGAGGGTCGTACGAGCTCTGAAGCCGCATGTGGCGGAGGTGTGATGTGGAGGGAACCGGGGCAGGCCTCTCTGGGGAGGCCACCTCTAGGCGAGACCTAGCTGATGAGAAGGGACCAACCACCAACACACAGGGAGAAAGGATGTTCTAGCAACAGGCACCAGCACATGCGAAGGCCCTGAGAAGGGGGTCAAGGTCGGTGAGGCTTAGGAAGCCAGAGGGCCTGCAGGGAGGCCAGGGGGTCTGCAAGGTAGTGAGAGGAGCAAGGTGAAGAAGTGTGTGTGTGGTGTGAGTAGGTGGGGCTGCTGTATGGTTACTGTTGGTGAGATTGATATCAACTCAGCTTCAAGGCCTGACCCAGAGCCAACGCCAGTTCATGCTGGACAAGTGGCTGAGGAGTAAGGGTCCAGACCGAAGCTGTGAAGTGTTTCTATGGAAACCTATCCCCCTTCCTGTTGATGACTTGAGAGGCTCGCCAAGGTCTCACACTCTCTGGTACTGGCCCTGGGCTGATAATGCCTCCTAAGCCCCCACGGAGGGGAGTCACTTCCTCTTCCTCTGCACCTCTCCCTGAACCCTGCCTGTCAGGGGGCTTCCTGTGCAGACAAGGGGACTCTTCCTGTGGCGCACACACTCACACACACAGACAACGCACAGGGGCTCAGGTGGCCCCAGGCCAGGCCTCGCGGTCCAGCCCACGTCAGAGCCAGGCCCAGGATGCAGCTGGGCCCCATCTGGCCCTACAGTACGAAGCACGAATGTTGATGTGATGTGGCAGTGACCAGTCCACGGCCCTGGACAGAGGAGCTGGCCTGAGACGTATTCTCAGGAGACTGAGCACAGCAATGAGTGTTTGCATGGCTCCCGGGTCGAGGCCTGCGGCCCTGTTCAGCTGCTGAGGAAATGGGCCACAGAGGAGGGGCTAGACGGCTGTGGGAGGCCAAGGTTTGAGAACCAGGCAGTACCCTTCACTTAGGCCAGTGTGTGTGTGTGTGTGTGTGTGTGTGTGTGCGCGCGCACATGCGCACACGCAGACCCACAACAACCAGCCATGGCGAAGTTAGGTTCAGACGTAAAGTGCTCTGATATGAGTAAGACAGAAACCCAGAGGCACTGCAACACAGAGACACACAGACAGACAGGAGAGGGACACACAGACATGCCACCCAGCAACACACTCACGTATGAGGATGTGACACACACACGTGCAATCCTACAGGAGACAGACACACTTGCACTTCCACGCAGATGCTCCTTACTGCCAGTGCACACACGATGCTGCAGACACACCCGCTGAGGCCCCTGCCCCCCACTCCCAGATAATTGTGCCGGAAAACAGACACACCTGCTCCCCACCAAGTTATTACCAGGCAGTGACGGGCAGATGAATTAAGCCTTCACGGGAGGCTGGCATTTTCCTGGCAGCCTTGCTGCCTCTTGCTACCAGAGTGCCTGCCAGCTCAAGTGGCCTTTGTGATGGACCCCAGGGGGCACTCAGCCCAGCCTCTCTTACCTTCCTCCCGCTCTGGACCCTATAATGACTCCCTACCTTTCTGTCAAAAAGGCTTCTTCTTGGGCCGATTGTGGGGAGAAAAGTCTCCTAGGGGTTTGAGGCCTAAGTCGACAGATTTTCAGCTGTGGACAGGAGTGGTGGATGCGCCCAACCTAGTCCAGGGGCTAAACTCAGTCCCTCTGTCTGGAGGGGGACTCAGTTCTCCTACTTGCCATCTTGGGCTTGGTCCTCAGCTCACATGGACTTTTCTCTGCCGCCCTGGCCTTCCTTCTCTTCTTCCAACACACCAAGCTCATGCCTGCCTCAGGGCCTTTGCATCTGCTCTCTTCTCTGAAACATTCCCCACCATGTCTGTGCCTGGCGCCATTCAGACCTCAGCTCACATGTCACCTCCTCAGAGAAGCCTGCCCTGATATACTTAGTTAAAATATCCCCTCCAAGTGTTCTCCTCAGTTACCTTCTAACTCAGTGCTTCTCAGTCCTGGCTGCTTGTTAGAATTGCCTGGGAGCTTTTTAAATAAATCATTCAATGCCAAGCCCTATGTAGACCAATTAGGTAAGAATCTTGGGGGTGTGGGTCCTGAGTGCTGGTGTCCTTAAAAAAGTCCCCACCTTGGTCTGATGTGCAGTCTGGACTGAGTGAGGATTCGTGGCTGGGAGACTTCCCAGTTAGAAAGAGGAAAGGCTGCATTTTGTAGCCTCCTCACCATCTCTCCACATTGCTGTTGTTTATTGAGCACCTACTACCTTCTAGGCCTACAGCGGCCTGTGGGCGTGATGAGCTCAGCACACACCTGTGCCCAGTTTAGGTTGCTCACAGTACTGCTCAAAGGGCTCTGTGTGGGACAGTGCATTTCATCCCCCTAATAATGTGGGAACTACTGCCACTCCCATGTTACACATGAGGAAACTGAGGCACAGAGAAAAAGTAACTTACCCAAAGCCTGCAGCTGGAAAATGGTATAACTGTGAACTTGACCCAAGCAGTGCAGTTCCAGAGCCTGGCTCCTGACCCTGACACCAAGCTGTCATTATGCTCTTTAGTCCTCAAACCAGCTATAACACAGCATTTTAAAGATGAGGAAACTATGGCCCAGAGAGTCAGGAGACTTGACCAAGGTCACGCAGCAGGGTTCAGACCCATGAGAGTCTGACCCTGGAGTCCTGCGGGCAGACACATTTGTGATCCTTCATCTCTTCATTCCCTTCCGTCCCAGAAATCAGCCTTAGGGGCAGCAAGCCAGTATGGGTCACCCGACAAGTTAATTTAATAATAGCAATATAACTGTCACAAACGTGGCAGGCATTGTCCTAAGTGCTTGGCATAACTTAGCTTACATGACCTTCAAAGAAACCTTCATTTCGCAGAGGAGGACACAGTTGCACAGAGAGTAAAGTAACTCGCCCAAGGTCACACAGCAGGTTAGCGCAGAGCTGAGACTTGAACTCAGAGAGGCTGGCTCCAGAGCCTGCCCTCTTAACCCACACAGCATACTGCCCTCGGCTGCCTTGCTGAGTTAAGCTGCTGGAAACTCACTTTTCTCCTCCGTAACACAGGTGCACTGGTGCCTACCTCACGTCAGGACAATGTGTGGGAAAGGCCCTCGCACAGGCACCCTGCACAGCAGGCGCCTGATTGAGCGGTCGCTGGACAGAGCAGACAGAGCCACAGCCTCGTCCTACAGCGATTAGCCTCCCACATGGTAGGGGCTGAGCTAACACAGGACGGGGATGCAGGTGGCAGCATTTGCTGGCATCCAGCCTGCAGCCCCCAGGGAGGT